GGACAGAGAGAAAGTCCACTGGTCTACATGTTGGACAGAGAGAAAGTCCACTGGTCTACATGTTGGACAGAGAGTCCATTGGTTTACATGTTGGACAGACAGGCAGTCCACTGGTCTATATATAGGACAGAGAGAAAGTCCACTGGTCTACATGTTGGACAGACAGTCCATTGGTTTCACATGTTGGACAGACAGGCAGTCCACTGGTCTATATGCAGGACAGAGAGAAAGTCCACTGGTCTACATGTTGGACAGAGAGTCCATTGGTTTACATGTTAGACAGATAGACATAAAGACTGTCCACTTGTCTATAGGTTGGACTGGCAGTCCATTTGTTTACATGTCGGCAGACAGACAGACAGACAGACAGTCTACTGGTCTACGTGTTGGACAGACAGTCCACTGGTCTACATGTAGGTGAGATAGTCCACTGATCTACATGAAGGACAGACAGTCTACTGGTCTACATGTGGGAAGTACATAATCTCTACTGGTCTACATGTTGGACAGGGAGTCCATTGGTCTACACGTTGGACAGAAAGGCAGTCCACTGGTCTACATGTTGGACAGACTATCTACTGGTCAACATGTTGGACAGACTGTTCAATGGTTTACATATTAGACAGACAGTCCACTGGTCTACATATTGTACAGTCTGACAGTCCACACAATAGATAAAGGACTTGTTGGACATGTACTCACCTTAAATATGGAGTCCAGCTGGGTCTGATGCTGCTGGGCAGGCTGTGGATTGGGACCCTCTGAGCTCTGCTGGTCCACTCTGTGGAGGACACAAAGAATTATCTCCATTCTGTCTGTCCACACAGAGACAAAGACAAGCTAAAGGTCCATGTGGAGCCCTGCTCCAAAAAGTGTTTGTCCTCCTCCATGCAGCAACAGCTCCACCTGAGTGGAAGTTCTTGTCTACACTGTGTTTGAAACAAACGTCAAAGGTGAGACCTGCTGGACCAGCTGGTGTCCTACAGACACTCAGAAGCTCCTCCTACAACATCCATTCTTTGACTTTGACTGCTGAGTTTGTAGAAATCATCCAAAACACCCCTCTTCACATGTGAACATAGAAAACATCCAGCACAGAAAGCTTCACATGTGAACATAGAAAACATCAAACACAGACAGCTTCATATGTGAACACAGAAAACATCCAAGACAGACAGCTTCACATGTGAACACAGAAAACATCCAACACACACAGCTTCACATGTGAACACAGAAAACATCCAACACACACAGCTTCACATGTGAACACAGAAAACATCCAACACACACAGCTTCACATGTGAACACAGAAATGTGTGAAAAAGAGCTGAGCTGACATGAAACCCATGTTGGATCAAACATTTATACATTTAGAGACAGCTCACCTCAAACATGCTGGACGCTCACAGGATTTAAAGTCAGGAGGAGGGGTCCTTGACCGGTCGCTCTTTAAGGACACACAGCTGGGTCCAGGTCCAGGCTCTGCTCCAGGTCCAGGTCCAGGCTCTGCTCC